AAAATATATTTGTATTGATTTCTGAGAGGAAGGGAGAGGGAGAGAGAGATAGAAACATCGATGGTGAGAGAGAATCATTGACTGGCTGCCTCCTGCACGCCCCCTACTGGGGATTGAGCCCACAATCAGGCATGTGCCCTTGACCAAAATTGAATCCAAGACCCTTCAGTCTGCAGGCAGAGGCTTTATCCATTGAGCTAAAACGGTAGGGCAAGAGCCTTATTTTAGAGATGAGACAGAGGATGAGAAAGCTCAGTGACTTGCTCAGAATGACAAGTGAGTTAGAGATTGCTCTGGCCTCTTCCTCATGTTGGGCATCACGCACATTGCAACGTAGCCCCAATGTGGGAGTCCATTCAGAAGGCAGTCAGTCAGTATTGGTGGATGAATGCTTAGGAATAGCAGCTCTGTGATCAGAGATCTTTAAATGCTTTTACAAAACCCAGGGGTTGGTCCACCAGACCATGGGGCAGCTACAAAAGAAGGTCAAAAACAAGCATGGACGAGGAGTCAGGAGACCAGGTTGCTTCCCAGGGTTTTAGAGGTTTAGTGAGCCTTTCTCAGCGTTCATGGCCAAATTCTGAAGCATCGTACAAGACCTCTGTGCCTTCATTATGCAGTTCCTCTCTCTGGAACACGTTTCCCTTACCCATAACAGATTCTCCCCCTTCTTGTAGAACTATTCATCCCTCAAAACCTTGGTCCGCTATCACTTCTTTTGTGTACCTTTGTCTGATCCTTTTCATCCAGTTAGAATTATTCCCCTCCTCCTCTGTACCACTGTATTTTGTACACAGTTCTAACATTGCACATCCTACAAATATTTGCTTCTATGTCTGCATACCACTCTAAGCTACTTGTCAAGGTGTCTGAGGGAACCACATCTTATTCGCCTTTTTATCTCAGTTCCTTGGCACATAGGAATTCACTGTAGTTTATGTTCTAATTGGACTGGACATTTCTAATTGGCCTTAGCTACCTCACAGGATATTAAAAATAAGAATAAAATGACTAATAAATAAAAACACCTTGACAAAGGCATGAAGGTCAGATCCAGAAACTCTCGCTTGGCCAGAGCACCGGGTTACTCAGCTGGACATGAATTGACCAGCTGAGTAACCAGGTGCTCTGGTCAGGTAAGGCTTGGGGCTCTTCTTTGCCTTCAACATCATCATACAAACACCGATTTGGTTGGGGTCAGTGAAGGACGGTGATTAAGAGCTTGTGGCTGTCTGAAGATGTGGCCACCCAGCCCTGCAGCCCCTTCCCTTGCTCTTGTCCTCTTCGTGCTCACTGCTCTCTGGCATCACCCGATATAGTTGTTTGCTCAGTGAATGTCATTCTGTGGCAAAGGTTGCCCACCCAGATCCATTCTCTCTTCCTCCTTGGCCGCTGGCCAGGTGCCATTCCCTAGCCCCTCTTGAACTTGGATGTGCCCTCCAGACTAGGTTTCACCCACAGACAGGAAGTGGACATGACAGTTGCCTCTCCTGTCAGGCCCGGCCTTTAACACATTGGGGGTGGCCCCCCTTGCTCCCTCCCGCCATCCTGCTTGGTAAGTTCCTGCAGCAGCCCAGGTCTATCCAAGCAGCAAAGACTGTGTCCTAGGTACTCAGCAGAGCAATGACTTGGAAGGAACCTGGGTTCTTCCCAGTGACCATGTGGAGCAGGTCACAACTTCTTGGTCCTTTAATGTATTGGGGTCCTTTGTTTTGCAATCCGACCTCACCTAACGAATGCAGACCAATGCTTTGTGACAGCATGGACTTCGTCTCTCGTGTTCACTGCAGTGTTCCCAGTGCCTACACTCCTGCCTGGCTCATAGCAGGTGCTCAGACTCATGTTTGCTGCATCAGTAATGGAACTAGACTGCCTGTGTTTGAATCCCTGAGAAGCCATGTAACCTTCAGCTATGGAGACCTCAGGTCCCTCATCTGCAAAATGGGGGTAGTAATTGTACCCACTCTTTGGGTTATGAAGAAGATAATATGTTTACAGCTCACAGAGCAGTGCTGAACACACAGTAAACATTTGTTAAGTGTTATTATTATTATTGCCTAAGTGTTTTTTCTGCAGCTTTGGAGATCTTCAGTAACGCTGAACACGATTTCAGGTTAAATTAGAAGCAACGTCAGGGGAAAGAACCCAGAAGCAGGGGTAGTAAAAGCATCTGCATCTGCCCCTGGCTGACCCCGATAAAGTGGATTCACCTTTAATTGTTTATTTCATGAACTCGGTGTGATGGCTTCGGAAAATGCATGCAAATGTATGCAAATCACATACAAATCCACATAAAAGTAGCCTCCTGTGTGCCTCTGTATTGCTAGAAAGAATTCTTTTGGCTTTATACTACTCCTTCTAGTTACATGGTTACGTCTCCCTTCTCAGGAAGACCCACACCTGGAGGAGGGAAGGGTGCGCACATGGGGGTGTGCACGTGGAGGTGTGCACACATCTGCCTCAGGAGGGTGGAGGGGGCCAGAGAGGCTGTGAGGACCGGATCAGATACGCGTGGCTGGTCCAAAAGGAACGTCAACATTCGGGCTCTGCGGCCCATTCCAGTCAGGCAGCCCATTTCACTAGCAGGATCTAACCACCTGGCGTTATCAGGAACTGTGCCCTCGAGGCCATAAGAGCCACAAAAGGAGCCCAGGAAGCTCATTTAGGTTTGAAAGGCCCAGGACCCTTGCAGCTCTCCAGCTGTGAAGAGCTGAGAAGTGAGTGAGCCACCCGAGGCTCCATTTCTGTGGAATGAGCGCTGCCCACCTGGCCACTGCTCTCAGGACCCCCTGATGTGACGGGCGTAAGGGGCTTTGCAGTGGGTAAGTGGTTAATGAGAGGCTCAGACCATCAGTATAATTGTGGGTGGGAATGGAGGGGGAGCCAGGAGCAAGCGATATGGCCACCGAGCAGCGTGGGTAGAGCATGTGGGGTCCAACAACTAGTTCTGAAGCATAATGACAGAGACCTCCATCTTTTGAGGTCTCCAATGCATCTCGGATTTCAGACCTTTTGTCCAATGATCATTTCATAGGACGGCTTTATGCATGCATGCATGCATGTATGTGTGCACTCCTTCATTCATTCAGCAAAGACACCGAGCATCTGCCCCGGGCAGGGCCTTATGCTGGGTTCTGAAATTTAAAGATAGAAAAGACACGCTATTTGCTCACAAGGACCTCTTTCTTCTCACGCCGGGGCTTTCGAAACCAGCAGGGGACAAACATGCTATCAATAAACGCCACACCACACCCGTAAGGGTCAGTGACAGAAGCCCGGGAAGAGAGAGACACAAAGGAGGAGCTAGCCTGCGCACCTGGGAAGGTCAAGGCCACCTGGAGAAGCGCAGGGTGCTTCCCAGGGTGAGCCTTGAGCCTGCCAGGTGCACAGGCAGAGGGGACGCTGTGTGCCAGGCACAGGAGCGTGAAGCCACATGGCCGATCTGATTTGGAAAACACGGTCAACGGTGTCAAGCTGTACCTTTCCCAGGCACGCAGCCCGGGCTTCCCCCACTCCTCCAGTGCCTGTGACATTTACGTGCCCGTGAGGCCTGCTTGGCAGCGATTGTCCACGGTGAGTCCTTGAGCTGTTCACTGGCCGCTGCTGCTGCTGCTGCTGAGGGTCCCCTCTCTTCAAGGAGATTATGCGTCCCCTAAGCACTGAGGCTGTGTATTGCATCTTTGTCTCCTCGGTGCCTTGCTTGTGAATGTTAAGCAGGCAGCAGGTGGTGGTTGCTGGCGGGTGTCCGAACGGTGACAGTGTCGGGTGCTACCTCTTACTGAGCATCCCCTCGGATGCCACATGCTCATTTGTGAGTCATCTCTTTTAATCCTCACGATAACCCCACGAGGTGGATGCTCTGCACCCCCATTTTACAGATGAAGTGACTGAGGCCTGGAGAGATCACATCACGTGCAGAAGAGACGTGGCCTAGAAGTGCTGACACTGGGATTTGAATTCAGGCTGACTCATGCACGACCGATGCTGTGAGCTCTGACTCTACCCAAGTTCACAGCCCCTGTTTCCTAAAGCAGTGTGAGTCAAGGTTTTACAGACTGTCAGCTAAGCCCTGAGCTCTAACCAAATGGTGGATGTTTCCTCTTATGGCTGCCTCCTATGCCATGGGCTCCCTCCTCCATCTCTGTACCTCCAGCCCTAGCATGGCACCTATTCTCCCAGGAAAATTGTCCGTGGCAATTCTGGAAGACTCCCTGGAGGAAGCCAGGTTCCTTGGAATGTGGTAGGAGGGCACGATGAAAAGAGGGTGTGTGTGAGGCTCAAAGGCGGGCACGATGAAGCCATTTATAGGGTGTATGTGCTTTGGAAGGAGTGGAAAGGAACCAGAAGTGTGTTTGGAGGAGCCCAAAGTCCCCGCCTATTTCAGGGGTACAGCTGGACCAGTTTGTGCGGAGCCCAGGCCTCCTCGGGAGGGATGAAGGTCCTTGCTCCTCCGGAAGGGATGGATGGGCATCTCCGGGTGAGGGACCACTGGGAGCTACTGAGAAACTGCTATGCTGCTTGAGAAGCATCATTTATAGGTAACAGTTAGCTAATTAATTAAACATTTCCTGAGTGCCTATTATATTCTAGGGCTGATTCTAGAAACTTGGACAATGTACTGGCCCTCATGGAAGTTTCATTTTAGTGGGGGGAAGGTAAAATAACTAACAAACAAGCTAGGAGTTTCAGGTGGTGATAAATGCTTTGAAGGAAATAAAACAAGGATGTAGCATAGAAGTGACTGGGAGAGAGGAGGTCAGGGAAGGCCAGATGAGGAGGTGACATTTTGGGCCGAGAAAACTTGAATGATCAAATGGCACCAGCTATTCCAAGAGCTGGGGGAAACGTGTTTCAGCCAGATCACAGAACAGGTGAAGGTCCTGGGGTAGGAACAAAAATGATGGATTAGATAGGTGTACAAAAAGACTAGAGAGGCTGGAGGGTGGTGAGCCAAGGGCAGAATGAAAAATGGGTGGGAGAGGCATGTCAGGTCAGACCACTCAGGGTCTGGTAGGATTTTATTTCAAGTACTACTGTGTATTAGCTAGTTACTGCTGTGTAACAAATGACCCCAGCTTTTAGCAGTTTGGAACAAAACTCATTTTTAAATCTCACAGTTTCTGTAGATCAGGAATCTGGGCATGCCTTTGCTGGGTTCTCAACTTCAGAGGCTCTCCGTGACTGCAGTCCAGATGTTGGCTGGGAAGGCTACACTTCATGCTCACATGATTGTTGTCAGGATTCAGATACTCATGGGTATTGATCTGAGGTCGTTCTCAGTTCCTCACATGCAGTTCTTTTCAATGTGGCAGCGTGCTTCATCAAAGCACACAGACTAAAGAGGCGAGAGAGAGAGTCTGATAGCAAGACAGAAGCCATCGTCTTTTGCAACCTAATCACGGAAATGGCATTTGTCATCTTGGCCCTATTCTACTCATTAGAAGCAAGTCACACAATGGGTTTTTCATCCTCACTAAAGGAATGCCAGCAGGTGGGGGTCACCTTAGAAATCTGCCTGCCACACACAGGAAGCCACTGGAGGTGTCCCAGCAGGAGATGACATGGCCTGATATACCTTGTTAGAGGATCACTCTGGCTTTCTTGAGCATGAGGAGTGAGTATGAATGGTGAGTGAGCAAGGATGACACCGGAAGGCCAGTGGGGACTTCAGTAAAAGATGATGCCAACTGGGACTAAGAGGGTGACCATGGATAGGCAGGAAAGGGGGTTCAAGGGGCTCCACCAATGGACAGGAGCCAGGGGCCAGTGAGAGGGAAGCAGATGACTCCTGGGCTGGCTGTGACATGTGCCTCCTGCCGGTGGGATGACATGCCTTTGACTCTCGGGATGTGTGCTCTGTGCTTGTCTCCTCCTGGGAGAGACAGGGTGACACTATCGCAACCTCCTCCAGCCCAACCTGAGGTCACACATTTGCTGGATGACTAGCTCACATGAGGAGCACCGACTGCGAGCAGAGAACAGATGTTGCCTTGTGCCAGGCTGAGGGACCAACCCCATGCCCTCAGTTTTAGTCTGACCATGCTCAGAGTAACCAAGTGAGCAGGGGCAAGGCGGGAGGGTGCTCACAAAGGCAGGAAAGAAGTTGGTCCGAAGGCTGTGGGTTATTGTTAAGCTGATTAACAAAGGCAGGAAAGAACTAAGGGATGTATCTGTGTCCATCTGCCCCTCTGTCTCAGGTGTGACAAGGTTTAGGGCAGGGAGAATTACTAAAGCATGTTAGGGCATCCCTAACCAATAAACTCCAGAGAGACAAATGAATCTTTACCTGCTATTGGCGAAAAGATAGAGAGAACCTGATCATTTTTAAATATATATATTTTTATTGATTTCAGAGATGAAGGGAGAGATAGACACATCAATGATGACAGAGAACCATTGATCAGCTGCCCCTTGCACACCCTACACAGGGGATAGAGCCTGTAACACCCACACAGCGGATAGATGCCCTGACCGGGAATCGAACCATGACCTTCTGGTCCATCGATTGATGCTCAACACTGAGCCACGCCAGCTGGGCAAGAGCTTGATAATGTGGCTACCATTTCTGTGTCAGTCTTGTGCTAAGCACTCACAGATGTATCAATTAATCCTCTTAACAACCCAGTGATGTAGGCATTTCCCACTTCTCAGATGGGAAATCTGAGGATTAGAGAAGCTCACTTGCATATTCATCTCCTGCCCCCAGGAGTAAAAAGGGGCAGCAGCCTTCATTCTCAAGAGTGGGTCCTGGCTTGCCAGAGAGGAGCAGAGCAAAACGTGTTTTACTGCGGCAGCAGAGGGCGCCCCCTGGTGGTGGCAGCGATGAAGAGCAGTGGGTGAGAATTGAGCCTGGGTTTAGCTAAGTTGATTGGGGGGGGGAGGGGGGGGGGGGAGAGGGGGGGAGGTGGACACAGAGAGAAAGCTGTGTCCATGGAGACTGGGTTCATCAAGTCAGCTTACCCCAGGCAGAGGGTCAAAGTGCATCTCCTTCCCAGCCAGGCGCTCATCACGTGGGTAACCCAAATGACGTCACCTGCACCAGCCACACTCATCACTCACACCTGGTGTCCGCAGCTGCATTCATACTCCTGCATGTGCCATACCGGCATCGTCTTGTTTATAATGTAGGGCCTAGAATTTTGGCTAAGTTAGGGGTCAGTCTGAATGGATTTTTAAAAAATATATATTTTATTGATTTTTTACAGAGAGGAAGGGAAAAGGATAGAGAGTTAGAAACATAGATCAGCTGCCTCCTGCACACCTCCCTCAGGGGATGTGCCCCCAACTAAGGTACACGCCCTTGACTGGAATCAAACCTGGGACCCTTCCGTCCACAGGCCAATGATCTATCCACTGAGCCAAGCCAGTTAGGGCTGGATTTTTTTGCTTATAGGGGCCAGACTCCACATGGGGGATTTTGTGGGTACCACTGTCCACACAGCTCCCCAAGGCTTCACGGGGAGTTGGACACGGGCCATTTATGAGACAAGACAGGAAGTGCTCTGTAGCTAGGGGAGCACAGGGCAGAGGTGGGGACTCAGCTTGGCCAGTTGGGGGAGGCGTGATGTCAGCTTGGAAAACACCCAGGACACCTTGGGTTTTGAGTCTCCTGAATGAGAATCACAAACTGTGTTGATTCTGAGAATAAATGCAAGCCTGGAGCTGACCAGCCTCTGACGGTCCCTCCAGCCACCTGCGCGGTTCCTTCACGTTGATCGGGAGCTGGGAGAGGCCCCTGCCCAGGAGGGAGGGAGCCGGGGAGAGGAGCAGCTGGGGTGTCAGGACGCCTGTGTCCTATTTCCAGCAGCTGTCACTGGCTCACCGTGCGACCTTGCTGAGGTCACGGCCACGCTTTCCTTGCAGGAGAAGACAGACGTGGCAAAGCTCGCATTTTACCAAGGGATGCGAATCCTGGAAGATGGGGTCCTCCCTGCTCCCCACGAACCTCAGCCACATCTGCTCCTGCTGATATTGATGAGAACTGCTTCAGTTTGAATTTGGGGGATTTTGGAGGGACACCCAAAGCAAGAAGCAAGGAGTTCCTACCACAGCAAGACCTATGGCCACTTTCACATGCAGCGTGTTCCGAACATTTTTCAGATCACGTTCCACAGCACTGGTTCCACGTGGGCCTCGAGCCGCCTGTGGCCGGACCAGGGAAAGGAGGGCGGTGGGGGGGAGGAGAGAAGGCATTTTCTCTCTAGTTTCAAGATGAGGGCATCAAGGTCGAGAGAGAGGGGGGGGGGGGGAGAGAGAGAGAGAGAGAGAGAGAGAGAGAGAGAGAGAGAGAGAGAGGGAGAGAGAGAGAGAGGAGGAGAGGTTTTTCTCAATACTTTAATGACCAGGGACCCCTTTTATTATTTTACTACCGAGCAACCCCCCCCCCCCCCCCCACACACACACACTGTAGGCAAGCCCTTGCTATTCCAGGGTATTTGGAACAAAATACCGGCACTCATGGGTGATTTTGATGAATGAAAACAGCCAAATTTCTACATTTATTGAGTAGAAATTTGGCTGTTTTCATTCATCAAAATCACCCATGAGTGCCGGTTTCTGTCCAGCACCAAAGAATAAGGGCGACCCTGAGCCCATTGCCCAGAGTAGCAGCATTTCCTCCGGTGACTTTCTCAGAGGCAAAGGCCTGGTTCCCGCCGCACTGTGTGAAATCCTGAAAAGCTTACCTTCCAGGAGCCCAGGGACCCCGGGCTTGTAAGTATTGCCCAGAGAGGCTCAGTGGCCCAGGAGAGGCGCTGTGGCTAGCGGTGGGGCCAGGGCCGGGGCCAGGGGCCTGACGCCCAGGCCAGGGTTCCAGCCAAGCTGCCCACTGGGCATGGCTGTCCACACTCAGACACACTGGGCAGTGCTGGCCACACTCACACACACAGGCACAGGGCACACGCGTGCAAGACAGCAGCCCAGTGGAACGCAGGCCAGCGGAAGCAACGATGCTGAGGGCTCTGGCCATAATCAATAGTAGTAAGTGGCGGGAACCAGGCCCGTGACTGCAAAAGATCATTACTATGCTGTCCTTTCAGGGGGCACTCTCACCCCCTCTGAGGGGATCAGACCATCGCTCTGGCACCTGCTCTTTAAGAGGAGACAGACCAGAGAGGGGCTGAGCCCCTGCAGCTGGGGACCCCAGAAGAGAGGAGACACCCCCAGAAGCTCAGGGGGTCTGGCATGGAGGCAGGGAAAGAGCTGCAGGACCCCCGTGGCTCAGAGCTCCCCTCCACACACCCCTGCTCCCCAGGGCTCCTGAGACTCCTCATCTGTGGAGCCGCTGGCTCAGACCCAGAGGCTCAGGGTTTTGATCCACCGAGACTCCATGTACCTTTGGAAAAGGCCGAGGCTTAGCTCCATGGCTTTAGCAGCCAGGCCTCCACCAAAGCGCATCAGGGCGGGGGGGCCAGGGCAGGGTCTCTGGGGCCGGTGGCCCAACAGCTGCTCCCTGGCTATTTTGGTCCAGCTATCAATTCCAGGGTATTTGGAACAAAATAGCCCGCAGCGTGGTGGCTCTGGGGGTGGGGGGCGGGGGTGAGGGTGGGGAGAATCTCTGCTTTGGGAGTTTCTTAAAGAGAGAGCGGGGAGGAGGAGCTTGGCTTGGGGGAGGGAGGGCAGGAGGGGAATCTTGTGTCTGAAGCGAGGTGACCTGCCTTGCTGTCCTTTCAGCCTTGACCCCTCCCTGACCTGCTTCCTTGGGACCCAAAGCTGGAGTTGGTGGGGGAAGAGTGAATGTTAAGAGGGAAGAGATCATTTTTTAATTCGGGTTCTTGACCCTGTGGTGGTCCTCCATAGCTGGTGACAGGCAGAGGACTGGTTCCCATTTTACGGAGGGGGCGCAGGGGGTGCAGAGATAGGAGGCCACAGGCATGGGAGCCAGGCCTCCTTACACCAGGCCCCACCCCTTCGGTTGGACCTCCTAGACCAGCAGCGGCTCCGCACTGGCCTCTGCGCGCTCCTGAGGAGCAGGGACCAACCTGGATGGAAAGTGCTGACTGGCCACAGCGGGGCTTCGGGCAGCTGCCAGCCTCCAGGACCCCGCCGGCCTGGCTGAGATTGGGGTAGGGGTGGGAGGGAGGAAGAACAGCCACCCCTCTGGGGCCCTGCCCAGCCCCATGGGCAGCCCCGGTCGCGCCCCCCCAAGAGCCTGCCGGCATCGCTCCGGGCGCCGGGCCACAGTGACCCGGGCTGCGCTCCCTTTGGCAGCGGGTGGCGCAGGGAGCGTGCTTTGGCACCTGGCGGGCGCGGGGCGCCAGGCTTGGGGCCTGGGCACCAGCTGGGCTGGGATGCGCTCCTTAACCGAGCTTAGTCAGCGAGGGCTCCTGGCGGAGCGCATACGACAGCTGACAGTTCCGATGATCAGGTCCCCAAGTAAGCCGTCCCGGTGGGGCCGCATTTGGCGACCACCACTTGGCCACCCTCGCCGCTCCCTCCCGTCTCTCCCCCGGGATTTAACAGCGGGTTAATTTCCTGTCCTGGGAAATCCTTCCCGAGTGTCCCTCGCCCCTCCCTCCCGGCTCCTCTTCCCCTCCCTCCCCTCCCGTCCCCCCTCCGCTCCGTCCCTTCGCTCCGAGCTCCCCAAGTCCGCCCCCGCGCGTCAGGGCGCACGCCCTCCCCGCCCCGCCGCCCTCCGGCTCCCGGCGCCCCGCTGTCCTGCCGTCCGCAGAGCCGGTCCGCGTCGCCGCGGCTCGCGGGGTCCGGCCATGCGCCCCCGCGCCGCCCCCCGCGCCCCCGCCGCCTTGCTCGGGCTCTGCGGCCTCCTCCTCCTGCTGCTGCTGCTCGGACCCGGGCGCGCCTGCCCCGCGGGCTGCGCCTGCCCGGACCCGCTCACCGTGGACTGCCGCGGCCGCGGGCTGCCCAGCGTGCCCGACCCCTTCCCGCTGGACGTGCGCAAGCTGCTGGCGGCCGGCAACCGCATCCAGCGCCTCCCCGAGGACCTCTTCCTGCTCCACGGCGACCTGGTGTACCTGGACCTCGGCAACAACTCGCTGCGCGCGCTGGAGGAGGGCGCGTTCCGCGGCTCGGCCAGGCTGGCCTTCCTGGACCTCAGCCACAACAACCTGAGCCGCCTAGACGCCGGCGCCTTCCGCTCGGCCGCGGGGCTGGTGCGGCTCAGCCTGGCCCACAACCGCCTGCAGGGCGTGCACGAGGCGGCCTTCGAGAGCCTGGAGTCGCTGCAGGTGCTGGAGCTCCACGGCAACGAGCTGCGCGGCCTCAGCGTGGCCGCCCTGGCCGCGCTGCCCGCGCTGCGCTCCCTGCGCCTGGACGGCAACCCCTGGCTCTGCGACTGCGACTTCGCCCACCTCTTCGCCTGGATCCAGGAGAACGCGTCCAAGCTGCCCAAAGGCGAGCCGGGCCGCCAGGCTGGGATGGAGCTGGGGGAGGGAGGGGGAAGGGGCTGGGAGAGAAAGGGAGGGGGGAAGGGGCCGGAAGAGGCCACCGCAGCCCCGGGGGCCTGGGGTGGAGCGGGAAGAGGTCTGGGTGCTCAGAGGGACCACAGGATGAGAGCTGCTCCTGGGCTGTAACCTCGCAAGTTCCTAGTCTGAACTTTTTCTGGGAATCTTCTGGGGAAGGGGGCTGGGGAGGGACACTTCTGGGTTCTCCAATTTCTGGGCCCTGATGCTATACTCCACCCCCACCCCCACCCCCTTCTCCAACAACCCACTTTCCAGAGTTAGAGATCTGTCATTTCTCCGTCACCTAAATCACCTCATGGGCCTCTAGGTTCTAGCACTGGTGGGCGTGGTGACTTAACCCCTTCTAAATGGAACGCGCCCTCCTGATAGGAAACCACTAATCGCATTCTCACTGCTCTGAAAGTTCAGAGAACCAGCCGCTAAGAACCCCCCAGCAGCCTGCAGGGCCTGAGCAGGAGTGTTTCTCAGCTCCCAGCCGGCCCTTCTCTCTAACGGGGTGAGGATATTCCTGGTGAGGGACAATGGCTGCTCCCGGAGAGCCAGGTTCTGTGATTTTGCAGCCCAGATATGATCTCACCCAACAAAAATGTGAGCAGGTGCACCTTTCCCTTTCCTGGTGCGCCTTTCCTGGGGTGACAGACACATGCACCCCCACCTGCAGACAGGAGCACCGGGCCGGCAGTTACGGCCCGGTGAAGGCCAGTGGGAAGGAAGCAAAGGCAGAGCTGAGAGGGAAGGGACCTCAGCACCCACAGGGAAGAGCCCCAGGCAGGGAGCAGGCAGAGTGTCCTTGCCCTCAGGGGTCCCAGCCTACCATGGGGCTCAGCCGGGGACTCCAGAGCCCAGCTCCACCTTCATCTACCGAAGGCTCTGGGTAGAACAGGAGCCAGAGCTGTGTGGCACACGTTATAAAAGGTGACACCGATAAGGATATAGCTTCTATAGATCCTTTTTCCATGTACTGAGGATTCAGGGTGTACCTCACCTACACCCCAGATTCCTGTGCTCACGCGTTAATTCCACACTGACTGAGCACCTGCCCCAGGCAGGACCCGTCTCTCCTCACAGGTGCAGGGCCCTGAGCTGCCACTTTAAGCCCAGGCAGGCTCTCTCCCATAAAAAAGCCCTAAAAGGTACAGGCGCCTCAGCTTCATTTATTTTTAAAATATTTTTATTGATTTCAGAGAGGGAGAAAGAGACAGCAATATCAATGATGAGAGAACCACCAACAGACCACCTCCTGCATGTGCCCCCACTGGGTCCGAGCCCCCAACCAGGTCATGTGCCCTTGACTGGAATTGAACCTGGGACCCTTCAGTCCTCAGGCCGACACTCCATTCACTGAACCAAACCGGCCAGGGCCAGACTCCCCAGCTTTAAACTTTGCCTTCCTTCAAGGGCCGGGCTCCCCAGATGCTCCCCACCACAAGCTGCCCCGGAGGCCGGAAGACCTCACTGTGGAATGGGGGTGTGCCTCAGTTCTGTTGGTTTCCACCTCTGCTCCCCCACAGACTTGGCATCTTTACTCCCACGGTTCACTGAGCTGATATAACGGGCTCTTATTGTCATCCGAGTGAGGGCTAGGTGTTATGGGGTCAGGATCTGTAGGTTTCAGCCTCTGTGCTGCCATCGATGGCTGTGACCTTGAACGGGCCACCTGTCCTTCGGCCTCATGTTCTCATCTCTGAAGTACTGCAGGTGGCCTCTGAGGTCTCTACAGGGACCTTGGTTTGGAGTCTGAAGACACAGGCTTGAAGCCTCGCTTAAACCTGGGTGACTCTGGGTGGGCCACTTAACTTTGTTCGAGCCTCATCTTCCTCCTGCTTGAAACTGGCACCTGGAATGCTGGGTAGTCTGAATCGGTGATTTTTGGGATCAAAACCAGATCACGTGGGTGGAAGGAAGGAGCAGTGTGAATGTAAAATGCCATTCTTCCCAGATGTGTGATCCTAGCATGTCTCCGACCTCTCTGAGCTTCTGTTTCCCCACCTCTAACCTCAGCACGCAGTGACCAAATCCCACACCGTGTTTACATGAGATCAGCTCCATCAGGGCACAGCCATGCTTAGCTCAGAATGGGCGCTCTGTAACCTCAGACACCCCCTTCCCACCTTCTCCTGCACTTGTGCAGGGCAGCGTGGCTGAGAGCCCGGACTCTGGCACTGAGCTGCTGGGTTCAAATCCTGCCTCTACTTCTCACTAGTTGGGTGACCTGCAGTACCCCAGTTTCCTCATCTGTAAAATGAGGATGACGCTCGTACCCATCTCTGGAAGGGCACACGCAGGTCCCTGCGGAAGACTGAATAGCTAAGGTTCCTCTTCCACTTCCCTCTGTAGCCACAGCCACGTGTGGCCCACAGACTAGGAGAGTGAAGGGAACTAATTCTCATGCCCAGCGACCTTGGCCTGAGCAGCAGTAGGGAGGGAAGGCGGAAAGGAGTGGGGATCAGGGGCTCAGTTATACAGGTGCACGTGCTAAGCCTTGGGACTGCTCGCCTGGCCCCTGCCTGGGGCAGCTTCCTGGAAAGGCCATTCTGGGCTCCGCTCGGGCCCTGTGGGCAGACCCTGCTTGGAGTCCTCTCTAGGAAGGGGGGGGGGGGGTCATGCGGTAGGATGCTCACCAGTTAGTTCACTAACATGCCTGGCAGGCTGGACCCTTGGCTCTCTGGGGGGGTCCCTGCCCCATCTCCTAGTAATCCCGCTCTCCTTTTCTGACGTCAGACACTTGGAGAGCCCAGTGTGGTGGAAGAGTGAGGACTTCTGGTCATACTGACAAAATAGATATAGTTCAGCCAAAGAGACCGGAGCTGATAACTTTCTCCCCTGGTGACTCCAAGGTGCTTTTTCTTTAAAACGGAAGCAGTTCTATCTCCTGGAGGATGAAATAACAGGCTCCACGCAGACTCGGGAGCTGGAGAAAAGTCTCCTAAAGAAACGGAAAGCACCCAGGAGCCCACCACCCTCCAAGGTTTTCTACATTTAATTGGGTTTTATTCCTAAGCACATGCAAATTTCTTAAACAAGTTGATACTAGATTATACTGATTTTGTGTTTCTTATTGAGTTGTGAGAATTCCCTGTCTTTGCAGTTCTTTAAGAATTTAGCTTTTTAAAAAATTAAATGTATGGGATGACATTGGCCAGTATAAACATCTAGGTTTTGGGTGGGTTTCTGAGTGACAAGATCTGCGTATTGCACCGTGTGCCCACCATCTACAGTCCAGTCTTCTCCTGTCACCTGATATCAGGACCCCTTCTCCTTCCACCCCCGTTCCACTGGCAGCCACCCCACTGCTGTGCATGTTCACGAGTTTCAGTTTTATATCCCACATCTGAGTGAAATCATAGCTCTTGAAAATTTGACTTTTAATGGCCACCTAATGGGTCGTTTTATTAATCTATGAACTGGCCTGTCTCCTGTTAGAAGTATGGGTAGGTGCCTTAGTTTTGTCTACAGACAAAGCTGAACGGAACACCCCTCCTGGATGCAGAGGAAAAGCTCTGGGGATTTCCTGGGGGTGGGTTTTTTGAGGTGGGAACACAGAGTGAGAGTCTAATCTTATATTTAATCTCTGGAGTCATTTTTGCCCAATTGCACCCCAGACAGGGGACACTGGTGGCCAGTAGAGAGTCCCCGTGCCACCCCACTGTCCTCAGATTTATTCGCTTTAAATATTTGACTGGCAGAGAGCAATCTGTCCCCTCATTGCTTTCATTGGCATCGCAGTTTCGCTCCCCAGCGGAGTGAACATTCAGTGTGTTTATCCAGCTCCTGGCGGGGCTGACCGAGGTCTCACTCCGCCTTTGACAGGTCTGTGCCCGCCTGTGTGCCACGGGCTACTGCATTTTTAATTTGCCTCTTAATTAGAGTCGAGTCTCCGGTGTCACCTTTCTCACAATTACTTGTGTCCGGGGCCAGCTGTCGGCTCCCACGGGCGCCATGGTCTGGAGCTCCGGGGACGAGGCCACCGTGTACACAGGCCGAGGCAACCTCACCTCGTCTGCTCCCTGGACAGCCTGCTCCTGGGGTCCTGCTGCTCCATCCCAAACCCCAGCCCTTTCTGAAAGCAGCACATCCATCCCGTCCCTCTGTCGCTTCACTCACAGGGTGACCTTGTTGCTGGGAAGCAGAGAACAGTGGTCCTAGCTCCCTGCCCACCCAGGACAGCCCAGGGCACGCGTGGGGGATTTGCTCTGGGGAGGCCAGGACCACTGTTCGCTGAGTGACCCCGCGCCAGCTGACCCAGATGCCCAAGGGGGAGGCCCTTTCAGCCAAGTGGCCATCCGCCTCCCACCGTCCCCGGATCTTGTGATTTCCAGTGTAATTGGGATGAGGTTAAGGTGACCAGGCGTCCTGCCAAAAGCAGGACGCCTGGTCACCTTAGATGAGGTGCTTGGAAGGTTGTGTCGCCTTCAGGCTGGAAGGGCGTTGAGGGCCCCACATCATGTGGGTGGTCGTGAGTACCCGGATCTGGCACATTTACGGTGACGTGAGCCAATTCTCCAAATGGCATCCAAGGGACAAGGTCTGTATACCACATCCTGTGCCCACCACCCAAAGTCAAGTCTTCTCCAGTTACCTTATATCAGGACCCCTCCTCCTCCCGCCCCCTTCCCTCTGGCAACCGTCCCACTGCTGTGTGTTCACGAGTTTCAGTTTTATATCCCATATCTGAGTGACATCCTATGGTTCTTAGCTTTTGAAAGTTTAACATTTAGTGGCCACGTAATAGGTCACCTTATCAATCTATGAACTGGCCCAGTGATCGGCAAACTCATTAGTCAACAGAGCCAAATATCAACAGTACAACGATTGAAATTTCTTCGGAGAGCCAACTTTTTTAAACTTAAACTTCTTCTAATGCCACTTCTTCGAAATAGACTCAGCCAGCACGTGGTATTTTGTGGAAGAGCCACACTCAAGGGGACA